GGTGGGTGCGTCTGCAGGTTGCCTCTTGTTAATTCGGCAGAGCCTTAATGCTAAAGTGGAGTCTGTAACTACCTGCGAGGCGGGTCGTTTTATTATATGTGATTTATCCCTACCAAGAGAAAAATGGAGAGTAATCTGTGTGTACGCACCCACTGTGATTCAAGATCGAAAGGAGTTTTTTGAAAAACTTGATGTGTATTTAAAATGTGAACGTAAACTAATTTTGGCTGGGGATTTCAACTGCGTTTGTTCGAGTATAGATAAATCAAGTTTCAGGCCATACAGAGATTTAAGCACTGCTGTTCTAATTGATATGGTGGCGAAAGCTCAGCTAGAGGACGTGGGTGAATGTCTTTGCAGTGGAAAAGGGGTTACGTTTACCCACTTTCAGCGTTCAAGCCATGCTAGACTTGACAGAGTATATGTGTCTTCCGAAATCATTCCTTCGTGCCATGATTACAGAGTTACACCTGTTACGTTTAGTGATCATTGTTTGGTTTCATTCTCAATGGGTAAACATAAAAGGAATAACAAACATTTCTCTTGGGACCTCCGGAAATTTAATGTAAAGCTACTAAAGAATGAAGAGTTTAATCGGATTTTTCTAGAAGACTTAGCAAATAGAACACTTGAATCCTGGGGACATAAGTGGGAAATATTTAAACAGACCATTAAACTGAAAGCACTTGAGAGAGCCAGTATCCTGAGACATGCTGAAGAAGAACTTGAAGTGCGTTTGCGTGAAAACTTGCAACAGTTAGTAGCGGATGAATGTACTCAGGCCGGAACATTTTCAGAGGAGATAAACATAACTAAACAGAAGCTAGAGTTGATAGACCAAGAACGTTATCGTGGAGCATTGATTCGAGCTCGAGCAGAAAACTTGGTAGCGGGAGAAATGCCAACAAAACGAGCTCTTGGAGCTGAGAAGAGACATGCCTGTAAGAATGAAATAAGAGAAATAGAATATAAAGGAACAAGGTGCCATACGAAAGAAGCAATAGCCGGTGCTTTTTTCGAATATTACAAAGAGTTATTTACACCAACCAGTGTACACGCAGAACGTTTTAATAGCGATTTCATTTCATTAATGCCAAGACTTGATGACGACAGAAAGAAAATTTTAGAATTGCCTATAACAGAGCGAGAAGTTGAAAAAGCAATTGATAAGTTAAACAATGGTAAGTCTCCAGGACCAGATGGCCTTAGTGCTGCAGTGTACAAGGAATTCAAACACGTAGTTTCACCTATTTTGAGGGAGGTATTTAACGAGGCTTTTAAGTGTAAACAACTTCCACCATCGTTTTTGTCAGCCCACACGGTCTTAATACCTAAAACAGAAGAACCAGCGAAGTTAAGAAGTGTTACTGCATATAGACCAATTAGCCTAACTAATGTTGACTATAAAATATTGATGAAAATATTGGCCAGAAGACTCCAGACAGTTATGACAAAACTGATTGGGCCCCACCAAACTTGTGGCATAAAGGGAAGGAAAATAATGACCAACATAAACATAGCACGATCAACCCTAGAAAGTTGTGACGTTATGCATCTCAATGTTGCCATGCTTCAAATTGACCTCGAAAAGGCATTTGATCGCGTGCCGCACGACGTGCTCCTTTCATTACTTGAGCACATTAACGTAGGGAGTTTGATTAGCGAAGGAGTGCGCATGGCTTACACTGGATGCACGACGAGATTGGTATTAAATAAAAATGCGGGTGAGCGTATACCTGTGCTGCGGTCAGTGAGACAGGGGTGTCCACTATCGCCCCTGCTTTTTGCTATTTTCATTGAACCTTTCTGCTTAAGTGTAATTAATAACCCTGCAATAAGCGGCTTTAAACTGCATGAAGCTGAGGTTAGCCTCCTCGCATACGCAGACGACATTGCAGTTTTCTGTACAAATTATGAGAGTATAATGCATGCTGTAAATGCCGTGAAAACTTTTTGCCAGGCGAGTGGTAGTGCCGTGAACTGGGATAAGTGCCTTGGCTTCTGGCATGGGGAATAGGACGTCACGCCAAGAGTATTTCTAAACATTAAATGGCAGGAAACACCAGTGAAGTATTTAGGAGTGCCGCTGGAGTTCTATCATGACAGTGAACCGTATTGGAAAAAAGAAACACAGGCATTGCGCAATGATGTAGAAAAATGGAAAGGTTGGGGTATTTCGATATTCGCACGGGCCACAACATGCAACTTGTTTCTGGTGAGCAAGCTGTGGTACGTAATGCAGGTTTTGCACTGCAGTAGAATAAGTGTACAGAAAATACACAGAGTATTTGCAATTTTCATATGGAGCTCTGTATGGGAAAGATCAAGCCGCACAAACCTTTTCAGAAAAGTTAGAGATGGTGGACTCGGATTAGTTCATTTGTACATAAGACAACTTGTCAATCGTTTCCTTTTTCTGCGTGATGTGGATGACCCCTTTTTGAGAACTGTTATACAACTAAGGTTATCTAGAGTGCTGCCGGGATTTCTCGTATCATCATCAAATATGCAAGGACCAATACAAGGGTATTTAAAAGAAGTTGTTTCGTCTTTCCGCTTTTTGTCAGTAAGATTTTCGTTAGAGTATCTGGCTGAAGTACCACGTAAAAAATTGTATAGAGACCTTGTCGATGTTTTACTGCCTGTTCCATTGTACCGTTAGCTATATTGTGCAGGCCCAGGATAGGATGTTCTGAAACGTGTTAAAAGAATGCTTGTAGCGCCAGGGGTCAAAACTTTTTTCTTTAAATTACATACTGGTACCTTACCAGTTAAAACGTGGTTGCAGGATAAGGGAATATTCGTGCCATGGAGCACAAATTGGCACTTGTGTAATAAACCGGAAACAATTGAACACGTGTTTATAGATTGCTGGAGCGGGGTCTTTTTCTGGGATATACTGCAAAGAACCTTGAAAAAAGAATTACCGTTAAGTCCACATGGCATCCGTTTTCTTTCGGTTAAAAACGAGGCAGGTGTACCTTATGATCTTATCATGCTTCTGGGCCTGCACAGTATATGGAAAACCCGATGTGCCTTTGAAAACGCGGATGTAGAAGTGCTAGCTGTGCGCCAATATTTTTGCAAATCTGTGTGCCATTTTCTTGAAATGCTGAAAAGCCAAGAGGATGTGCCAGACTGGATTGGGTGCATTGAGCGATTGTTACGAATGCCCAAGTATTGATTAATAGTCAGCCAAGAGCTGACGGTACTTCAATGAATTCTGTGGGTGTATTTTGTGACACACTTGAATATGGACCAATATGTAAATATGTAAAATGTGAACAGTCATGATTTGCAAGGCAATAAAGAAAAAAAAGCTGCTGTGGACGAGCGGTTACAGCGCTCAACTACAATCTAGAAGGTACTTGGTTCGATTCGCAGAATCACTGAGCACTTTTTTTTTCCAAGAGGTTGCCTGGCCTTACATTATGCGTGGTGGCAGGTACTAATTTTTTGAGAAGTAGGCTTTCGCACCTGCTTCTTTCACTCCCCTTTTTACCCAAAAGCGCTGTACTGTGCTCCTTCAAAAATTAAACAATTCAGGGTTCATAATTTTCTCCTCCATCTTCTCTTATCGCAAAAGTGTCCAGTGCTGAAATATCAATGTCACACCTAGTATATTACTTTTCACGTGTTTGGATATTCGACCAGCAATCAGTCTTCACGGTGTTTTGAAGAAAATCTACACATGCAGTGAGCTAACTGCTTGCAGCCAAGTTGACTGCCTTTGTAGGGACACGCTTTCGTGCTAATTTGGTGGGCATTATCACATGCAGCAAGACCAAAGAGCGCGGACAGTTAGAGCTGACGCAAACAGAGTGATTAGTTTGTGTCTTCTCTCCCGCTATTTGTCATGCCGCACGCTTCAGTGTAATGTCGCTGTCAATGGTTAAAATGAACTATAGCAGTTAATCGAGTTCTGCTGAGAGGGTCCCCTATTGTACAGAATAGAACAGAACGATGGCAATTCGATTTGTGTGATAAAGAGATACCCTGCTTTTGGTTACTATAATAAATTTCTAAACTGAAGTTTATTTTTTATTAACAACATTTCCAGTGCAGATGAAAGGTGCATGGACAAAATTCGTGTATTCAGCTTGACTAGGTTTTTGACCTTAATTGTAATTGCGAACCAGTATCACAGTATGCATAAATATCACACACATATACAACCATGGGGGATAGCTTGCTTATTCTGATTAAAATTGAAAGGTTGAAATCGACATAATAAACCAACGCAATGTGTACGAGATATGCCATGTAGAGTAGCTATGCTCTAAACTAATCTTCACAGGTTCATTCCATTTTACCCAATCTCTTGCCCATGACTGTAGGTTGGTAAATGAAACAACTTCTTCGAACACACATATGAGTGGACAGTCGAGTGGACACGGGATCGGTGCTTCTGTACAAGCACTGAATCGCTTCCCTTTTGCAATGCAGGTTCAGCTGGCATTCCTCGTGCCCTTCTTATCAAGTGCATCCTTAGGCGTGATATGCGCTCCTTAATTACCCTCGACGCTGGAACATCTAGGCGTCGGCGCGTCTGACGTGGTGATCTTTTCGCCTCGTGATTTCGCGCCCATGCCTACCCTGCCTATTCTTGATGAACTCGTCTTCAAGCAACCCCCCGGATCGACAGCAGCATCAACTTCAACCAAGTGTTTAAGAAGCCAGCGCAGCCCAAACCAATTCAGTGGACACGGGATCGGTGCTTCTGTACAAGCACTGAATCGCTTCCCTTTTGCAATGCAGGTTCAGCTGGCAATCCTCGTGCCCTTCTTATCAAGTGCATCTTTAGGCGTGATATGCGCTCCTTCATTACCCTCGACGCTGGAACATCTAGGCGTCGGCGCGTCTGACGTGGTGATCTTTTCGCCTCGTGATTTCGCGCCCATGCCTACCCTGCCTATTCTTGATGAACTCGTCTTCAAGCAACCCCCCGGATCGACAGCAGCATCAACTTCAACCAAGTGTTTAAGAAGCCAGCGCAGCCCAAACCAATTCAGTGGACACGGGATCGGTGCTTCTGTACAAGCACTGAATCGCTTCCCTTTTGCAATGCAGGTGTGTGCAAACGTTTCTTTATATGCAAAGAAAAATAACAACCTCTGCTTAATACTGGTCCCGTGTCCACGGGTGTTGTGTGAAGTGTTTTGTGAATGTTTTTTCATACCTTTTTTGCTTCTACGCGCTGGCGATGTTGAGAGCAACCCCGGGCCCCCTACCAAGCGTTCGGACACGCTCGGTGACATAGCATCCTTACCCGCAGATCCCGCGGAACAGATGAGGGTCATTTTCCAAATGCTCAAAGATGTTCACACCCGCTCACTGGAAAGTTCGAAGGTACAGACCGAATTAGCAGCTGATGTTAAAGCAATTAAATCTGGACAGAAATCCATCGAAACCAAGATCACTGCTGTTCAGAACCGGCTTGAAGTACTGGAGGAAAATTATAAAAAACTAGAAGAACTTACCCAGGAAGTTAGTAGCATCCATACTCAGACAGATCAGCTTTCCGCTCAGGTATGCTCATTGCAAACACGCGTGCAGGATCACGATGACAGACTGCGAAGCAACAACCTCATTTTCTACGGCATCCCAGATTCTGAAGAAACCTGGGCAATGACAGAGGAAAAAGTTATTTCCACTCTCAATTGCCACCTTTCTTCTCCCCTTTCCTCTGATGCCATTGAACGCGCGCATCGCTTGGGTACCTTCAGCCAGGGCAAATGTCGCCCAATCATAGTTAAATGCCTATCCTATAAAACAAAAGATGCGTTACTTGCGACACATATACACCTAAAGAAACATAACATCACTGTAGCAGAGGATTTTTCACCCGCTACACGTGCAGCTCGGAAAAAACTACTTGATTTTGCCAAGAGTCAACCAGGCCCCGTCAAGCATAAACTCAGCTACAACAAGCTGCTTCTGAACCAAAAATGCTACATGTACGACCCAAACAGTGATGCAATCATCAACATTACAAATCGTAGTACACAAACCATTGCCCCGTCTGCAACTTCCAAGCCCTAGGAAAGCGCGAGGGGCAGTGGTCATGTGACTGTAGCTTCCATATCGGTCCTGTTTACTAATATCAGAAGTGTTCTTAACAAGTATAACTCTCTATCATCAGCGATCGACACATGCTCCGCTAAAATTATCGCGTTAACTGAAACTTGGCTCTGCGGGCAAGTGTGCGACTCCGAGATATTTTTAAACGCTCATCGCTTCTCACTTTTTCGTCGCGACCGTGGCACACAGAGAGGCGGTGGCGTACTTCTGGCTATTTCCAGCGATATCCCATCATCATCTGTACACGTTCATACTAATCTAGAAATGATATGGGCTGTGGTAACGCTTAGTCACCAGAATGTAGTCATCGGGGTATGCTACCGCCCACCCTCACCCTCGCCTACATTCAGTAGCGAACTTCAAGATGCCATAAACGTTGTTAGTACGCGTTTCCCTACATCGCCGTTGCTCTTGCTGGGTGATTTCAATTTTCCCAACATAACCTGGAATTCCCATTCCCCTTTAATATTTCCGCTTTCGTCCCAAGCTCGCGAATTTTTAGACGTTTGCTCGGTATTTTCCTTACAGCAAATGTGTACACAAGCAACCAGAATAGTAGCTCACGCTGCAAACACATTAGACTTAATTCTAACAAACAGTTCCGATATAATATCGCCCATAACGTACCTTCCGGGTCTTAGCGATCATTTGCTTCTACATTTTTCCATTAACTTAGGCCACCCGAAAACAAAGAAAAAGAAGAAAATCATTCGTGACTATAACAGAGGTGACTTTGAGGCAATCAACAATGACCTTTCTACCTTCACTGATCTTTTTCTTGACGGTTTTGACGATCGCAGTGTACAAACTAATTGGAATATGTTTTAAGATAAAATAATTCAACTCGCTGAACAGTACATCCCACACCGCAGTGTAACCAACAACACAAATGCACCCTGGTACAACAGCCATATCCGGCGTTTATCAAACAGGAAAAAGCGTTTCTTTCGCGCCGCAAAACTTTCGCCTTCTAATGAACGTTGGGCTTTATATGCAACAGCGTCTACGTTGTACATTCAAGCCCTTCGAGATGCAAAAAAAACATTTTCATTCCCATGTACTACCTTCCATGTTAACCACAAATGTTAAGAAATTCTGGCGAACTTTTAATCCCTCAACCGATGACGCTATCACACTGACCGATTCCTCTGGCGACCCCATTTCATCTGATATTTGTGCCTCAGTTTTTAACCGTACATTTGCTGAGAACTTTTCTGCCCATTCTGCTGTTAATAACCCCACAACAAACAGCCATACCTTTGAAAGTATGCCACCTATACTAATCAGTACACTTGGTGTTCTTGAGCTCATTGGTGGACTTAGCCTTCATTCAGCTCCCGGCTGTGATAATATTAGTAACAAGTTCTTGAAAAACACTTCGGCCTACGCTGCGTTAATCTTAACTAAACTTTTTCAACAGTCTCTTGATCAGTCCATTCTTCCAAATGAGTGGAAAATTGGGAAGGTCATTCCAATTCACAAGTCTGGAAGCAAGACATCTCCACTTAACTATCGCCCCATTTCCTTAACCAGCACATGTTGTAAAATGTTTGAGCATATTATTTTCACTAACCTTGTCGGTTTTCTAGAATCCAACTCTTTTTTCTGTTCAGCACAACACGGTTTTAGAAAACATTACTCATGTGAAACTCAGCTAATAACCTTTACTCATGCGCTACATCAAGTACTAGATCGATCATCGATCATTGACTGCATATTTTTAGATTTTTCTAAGGCATTCGACAAGGTTTGTCATAAATTGCTACTGCTTAAACTAAACACGCTTAATATTGGTATTAATTTACTGAAATGGATTGAGTGCTTCCTTTTAAACCGCTCACAATTTGTTTCTTTTAATGGCTTTAACTCAGAGTTTACAGATGTCTATTCGGGAGTTCCTCAAGGTTCAGTCCTTGGGCCTTTATTATTCCTAATTTATATTAATGATCTTCCTTCCGTTGTTAACTCTAATATTCTCCTATTCGCGGATGACTGTGTTGTTTTTAGAGAGATAACGAACTCTAATGATGTTGCCTCACTTCAGTCTGATCTTGGCGCAATCGCAGACTGGTGCAGTGAATGGCTAATGCAACTAAATATTAATAAATGTAAAGTCATGCGTGTTTCCAGAAAATCTTCCCGTCCACCACCATACCACATTGATAACATTCATTTAGAATCAGTAACTTCATATAAATACCTCGGTGTTTACATTTCTGCAAACCTAAACTGGTCTGCTCATATCGAGCACTTAATTAACAAAGCTAACCGCATGTTAGGCTATCTTCGTCGAAATTTTTATCACGTTCCTTCCTCCTTGAAACTCCTGCTCTATAAAACACTAATCCGATCGAAATTAGAGTATGCCACATCGGTGTGGGATCCCACCCATATCAACTTAATTACTGCTCTAGAGATGGTTCAGAACAACTCTGTACGTTTCATTCGCGCTAATTACAGTCGCACCGCCAGCATAACTTCTATGAAATCAGACCTTTCCCTCTCATCATTATCACTGCGCAGAAAAGTGTCACGCATTGCCTTGTTTCATAAAATGTATCATCATCCTGATCTGCGCGATCGACTCATCCCTCAACCATCTTATGTATCCCATCGCACTGATCATCGTCACAAAGTTGGATTCGCTTTATGTAATACTGAGTACTTTTATCAATCATTTCTACCACGAACCTCTCGCGATTGGAATGGCCTTCCCGCTGACATTGTAAACATTAATAACTGTAAACATTTTCGCAATTCTGTAGCTAATATTGTATACTCAGGCTCTTTCTAACTTATAGTGCGTCTCTATTGTACTTGCATATTTTGTTCCTTTTATTTTGTTACCTTTTTGTGCTTTTACCACTCCCCCACTGTAATGCCTCTGGCCCTGAGGGGTATAATAAAATGAAATGAAAATGAAAATATTCTGTGTGGGGTTACATTTATTTTTATGCAGTACAAAACAAATTGAAATGTATAATGGCTCAAAAGAGAAATAACTAGAAACAAATTCAGCCAAATCATTACCAAACTTACTCACCAATGATAAGCGAATTCTCATTTAAAAGATACATACATACATACATACATACATACACCGAGGTGTAAATATTAAGATAAATGGGTATAAAACAACAATTCTAATATACTCATTTTGAATATACAGAAAGTAACTTACGAGACAAATCCACCAGCAATGTTATGTCTGAACATGGTGTTTCTCGAATCATCTCGCAAAAGCTTGATGCATAGTTTTCCGCGGCTGCCCAGTGACAAGCAGTTTTTATAAAAAACACAAGAATAAAGCCCTTGACAATGTCATGCTAAAGAAAAGGGCTGTGCATCAATATTTTGTACATGTCTGCAATATCACTCTGTTTATTTACATAGCTTGGCTCATTCACAACCCACTAACAAAGCATGTTAGGACACTTGGGCTGAAAGTTGGCACAGCGCGAGTAAATTCTAGACAATACATGAATAATACAATTATAAGCTACTAAGCTCCTTGGTGAAAACAGTGTTTATATTGACAGCTATAGGTGCCATTTCGTTTCCACAAAACACTTCTCAAAAGTAGAATCAACTTTATTTAGCTAAAAGTTTCTATTCTGGCGAGTCAAGGTGGCTCAACAGTGGAAGTGACTCTTTCGGCCAAGAAAGCAAAGATTAGTTATTTTTCCAGTTCGTGAATTCACCCCATGCTATCATTGAGGCAGATGGTAGAAGTGCTTTTGGAGAGAGGAAACCACCACATTCCCACCAGTTGTGGCCTTGGGTAGCTACTTCACTTGGACAAAAATGATGAAAAACACTCCTCAAGAAGACTTCAAAGTTTGCACATCAACACAGTTCCCATACAGCTGTCTATTCATCATCATCATCATCATCATCATCATCATTATCATCAGCCTGACTACGTCCACTGCAGGACAAAGACCTCTCCCACGTTCCGCCAGTTAACCCGGTCCTGTGCTTGCTGCTCCCAATTTATACCCGCAAACTTCTTAATCTCATCTGCCCACCTAACCTTCTGTCTCCCCCTAACCCGCTTCCCTTCTCCGGGAATCCAGTTAGTTATTCTCAATGACCAGCGGTTATCCTGTCTACGCGCTACATGCCCGGCCCATGCCCATTTCGTCTTCTTTATTTCCACTATGATATCCTTAACCCCCGTTTGTCCCCTAATCCACTCTGCTCTCATCTTGTCTCTTAAGGTTACACCTACCATTTTTCTTTCCATTGCTCGCTGCGTCGTCCTCAATTTAAGCTGAACCCTCTTTGTAAGTCTCCAGATTTCTGTCTATTCTGTCTCCAGCAGTCTATTAGTCTGCTTAAAAAATATTGAGTTTACTGGTGGGCAAAGACTGTACACTATGTGAGGTGATGCGCCAGTGCACTGCATGTATGTCTTGCTGCTGGCCTCAACTGCGATGTTGCTCAGCACATATGTGTAAAATAACAACTAATACTATGCCACTGCA